CCAGATAATCAGTGTTATTCACCTCACCTGTAACTGGTCATAATGTTATGGCTGATTGGTGTACGTATCCTTCTGGAATAATTGACACACTTGTTCATAGCTATTCTTGACCCAACAAGTGCGGGAAAAGTGCTTTTCACAGCGAGGCTGCGGCTGCGAGACTGCGAGGAGAACAAACAAGTATATTTTGACCAATTATTCAAAACACAACACGGTAATATAATTGCTTACCGAGCACTCACGCTTACTGAGAAGCTGTTTTCCTGGCACTGCGGCAGGTAATAATGTCGTCTATAGATGCCTGAACACTTTATGAGGTGTTTTGTTGAACTAAATTACTCTCCATTTCCCCCCCCTCGTCCTCTGCAGATGCACTTCATGTAGGATGATGTTGTAACCATGGCAGCAAAGCCGAGAGAGAGAAGGCGAGAGGAAAGAGATGGAGAGAAAGAATCGAAGAAAACAAATCCAGAACCAAATCCAGCGGCGGAGGAAGAAAGAAGACAGAGAGGAAAAGGGAGGGGAGAGGAATAGGGCGAGAGGACCAGAGGACGGATAAAAGAAGAAATGCTGATGTCTGTTTCCATGTCGCCTGACCCTCTAATCTCCTCTCCTCTCTCCATGTGGCTACTGATCTCTCTGTCTTTGAATCTATTATGCCGAGGCACCAGAGGCTCCGCATCAATCCCAACTCATTTGCCAATTCAAGCGGCGATTACGACCTGCGATGACGCTACGAAGACTGACAGCTCTATGGAAGTGCAGAAGCTCTATTGCCACTTACTGACCTCCTCATCCCGATAATTTCCTGTACAAAAAAAACTTACCCACTTCCCTCTCCATCCCACAACCGAATCAAACTCGGAGGACACGCGTCTCTTTCTCTGATTGGATTGTTTGCTGGCACTTTATTCAATGTGAACTTTGCCAAGGGTGTATGTCTGTGTAGGTGATTTTAGCATCTTGTTCAGATTGGTTCCCCCCAGTGAGTGTCATCCATCACCTGATGTCAGATGTAATTGATTTGAATGCGTGTGTGCGTGTTCCTTTTTCTACATTTCAATGTGCTGCATCAACATTACCTTTTGAGTCTTTTTATGAGCTCCATTTGTTCTTAATTGCCAACTTCACATCAAGAATCCGGCGTGGAACGATAATTTTGCAGACACGCTTGTGTGTGCGCGTGTGTGTGTGCGTGTGTGTGTGGATGGACGTGGCTGTGTAGGGTGTGTACTGTGTTTCTCTTTTGGTACCTGATGTCATTACTGTGTTGCCAGGTACCAATGTGTTACTGCACTGGAACTAACTGATGAAAGCACTGAGCCAGACCCAGGCATCGCATTTGGATGTAAAACCTCTTACACTAACTTTGCTACTTGGGGACGTGCTGTACACACTGTGTATTTTTGTTTCTTTTTTTGCTCCTCTACAGCTGTGCAATATCATGCAACCTCTTACTGTCTTCTCCACCCATCTGTAGGCTGTTTAGAAGCTGTTTCCTGCTGTCGTGTTGTACTTCTTGTGTGTCCACATCAGGTTTCTGTACAAAAAGCTGTTGTTTTCTGTTTTATTTTTTAAACCTGTTCTGTTATACCCGTACTGCTCTAAAAGTAGTGACAAATGCACTGAGAGCCAGATAGAGAGGTGACTGGATATTAGTAAGGAGGCAAGTATCAGTCTGACCAATCAAAAATGGTCTAATTCCCAACTGTATGATGTCCTTCCTGTCCTGAGCATTCGTCCTGTCTCAAATTAGTCTCCAGTGAAGTCCTTTACACTCCAGAAAAAACTGGATAAGGGTAATTAGCGCAGCATGTCTCACCTTCTCTTGGAGGAAAAAGACACTGCTTACACAGAGAGGGGTTTGTTAATGTAGTGTTAACATTTATGGACAGGACAGCTAAAGGTCAGTCAGAGGAGTCAAATGAGGACCAGACCGTTGGAAAGCAACTGAGGGTAATGTCTGTCAATCACGACCCTAGTAATGCCTGCAGTGACGACGTACAGATTAATTCAGACAGAGACGGGAGGCTTAAATGAGACGTTAAATGTTAATGTGGCTTTTCTGGCCGATCCAAGGTCAAGTTAGACCCACAGACAGACGATATATATATATAGCACAAACCTTCGAAGAGGGGACAAACGCTCTGCTGCACAAAAACCTAAAATCATTGCTGGGATGTACAGTTGAAAGGGGCAATAATCGATTGGGGATGAAGTCGTTTTCTATTGATTGTGTCTGTTCAGTATGTACATGTACTGTATGTGTGTTTGTGTGCACATGCCTTCCCATAGAGATAAACAGGGTCATGTTCCTCCGTTAGAGATGAAAGGTCTCTAGTGAGCTGGTAGCGTGTACTAACTTAGCAGTGAGTGTTATTGTAACCGTGTCTCAGTCTGTACAACCCAACATCAAATTAAGGAGGCTCTAGGATCACTCATCTGCTATAAAAAGCAAAACAACAACAAAAAAAAAAAGCCCCCAGTCATTGGACCTGGAATCTCAAAGCGAATCTTGAGGCGAAACCTCTCCAGACAGCTGGAGCTGCACACGCTGGCGATTCCCAACAAATCGTCAGAGAATTGCGACTGTATGGTGGCGTATCGTTGCAATTCACCCTTGAACTGTAACTGCTGGCTACGCAAAAACCAATCTTCCTGCAGCTACGACTCTACTACCAGCAGAGCGAGACTTCAGTGTTAGAAATCGTCACCAAGCAGGCAGATATTCTCTGACTTTTCTTAAATAAGAGGCCAGCTGACATTTGGATATCTCCTTTGGAAAAATTGTCGTTTTCACTCTCCTCCATTACTTGTCGTTCAGTGGTTTGTCTTTCTCCGTCAGCTGAATGCTCTTTTCATTGTGCACTTCATTCCCACGACGCAGCTCGATCCATCCTGGGCCAACCTCTGACTGTTACTGTGTCCTCTGTATATAGGTAATGCCGTTCATGTGTTTTTAGACGTGCTCTCTCTGTAAAGTGATCGAAGCCCCATTGGATGACGTACTGTACGTGGGACAATTTATTGCTGTATCTGTGTTTGAATGGTTGTATTTTGAAGGTGTCATCATCCAGGGATGGGTGGGCGGGTGGGTG